AAACGAAAACAATCCGATTGAGCTGGAATATGCTAAAAATCGGAAACAGATTATTTTGAAGTAAAATGTGGGTTGTAGGAACTATACAAGATAGATAATTTTCTTACGTTAAACTAACATATGTAGGTCCAATTTTCCTACACCACCTGGAGGAATACAGTCTCGTTAATTCCAATCTTGGCCTGAACCGTAGTTGGACAGAATGTATGGTGAGTTGAACTATGAATAAGCCTGGCAGTAGATAGAGACTGACATCTGCCTTAATATAAAAGAATAGAGGTTGCATTGTTCACAGATCAACGTGCAGAGGTTTACTTCAAACTCGTACATAAACTCTGAGAGGTCCAACAGGCTACAGGTATATTGCAGTACTGTATTCTATATACAATACATATTATACAATTTCCTTAACTTCTGTACCCGAAAGCAGCTTCGTGTAATTATACGAGTATATAAACAGTCTAAACAGAGAACCGCAAAGGATCAGCAGCGAATAACAAGCAGAACTTAATTCAAGCTTTGTATATGGAAAACGACTGACCTCAGTCGATGAAATTAACGGAGTTTTAAATCACAATCGATTCGAGAGCGAGAATTACTGATGCAACTCTAAAACTTAGGAGTCTACAAGGCAAGGATTTCTTACCTGCTCCAAGAATGAAATTATTTTTTAAAGAATATGTTATGCAATTGCCCAGGGAAACAGATACATTCACGTCTTATGTGATGTTTAACTAATACATTTTTTAAATACAATTTTGTACAAAATAATTAAATCGACGTTAAAAGTCTCATATAGGTATGTCGATATGAGATATACGATACCTTTTTAAAAAAATGACAAGAATTTTGTTTATTCATTCGTCTACATTAATGTTATTGCCTTCATCATCTATCTTGTAAAACGACGACCCTTTAAAGTTCCCTTTATTTTTGGAAATAGGAAAAAGTCACACGGATCATGTCTGGTGAATATAGAGGCTGGGGCATCGTTACAGTATTGTTTTTGGTCAAGTATTCACGAACAAGCAACGAAGTGTAAGCTTTTCATAAACGAAAATCGCCAATCTTATAAAAACACATCTATACTTGGCGGCTGTTGCAAATAAAGTAAGCAATGAAATTTAATCGTACTTCAGGGAAATGTATGTACATATATCGACAAATTAAAAAATTGTGATAAATATACTCTCCAAACCCGCAAAATTTAAAATTATATTTTCTGAACACACGTCGTATAACTGGACAAAGCTAATATACATGTGACTCGGAAACCCCTTTGCCAGTCTAAATATAGTCCGAAATACGCTATCTAATCAAATTGAATCCTTTTAACCAAATTTAACTTTCGAATGCAATTTACGATACCCTAAAGTTGCTCCGCTGATTTTTACTATGGAAAAAATGGCTTTTGTGGATTTATTGCTACGAAATAGCTGGAGTTTCAAAAAGTAAATTTGGCAGACTGCTTTACCGCATAGTTACGTATTTGAGTGGTAAAAAGCTCGCAGGGAAGCTCGAGAGATCGTAGAAAAGTTGGTTTTTTAGAGTTATACTTTGACAACTGTTCATTCCTCTTGATTAATATGGAAATTGGACCCAGAAATTGTCGGGTAGCGATAGCTACTCAACATCGCATCTGAATTGCATCATCATATTTATATTGGTGACCTCGACAGACCTCTCGACATTTGGAAACAAGAGGTATAAAAACACAAAACTCACCTCCATTCGCTGCTATCATCATATATGTAATTTTTTCGACAAAGCATCTAATAAAATGTACAAATTATATATATGTAACTATATCGGAATATAAATATATGTATATCGATATACTACGTACATATATCGTAAGCATCAAACCTATTATTAATTTCACAGTAGCCAAAGATATTTGCGATTACACAGAAATTACACTAACAATGCATGCCTATAGATATGTATGTATGCATTTTACATTTATAGGCGGCATATCGGCCGGTTAAATAAGTACATATGTATGTATGTATGTCGGTAAGTACGAGTAAGTAGTCGAAATGTTCGAAAGATAAATTCATCACACTGTAGTAAATTGCCTACCATAGCCAGCGGCATCAAGCATCCAAATTAAATTAGTTTGTAGCTACTCTTATTGCACATGTTAGTTTCCTACCTGTTTTGTATGTATGGAATTTAATGAATGAATAAAATCAAGTTCGCAAGGGAGCAGTCATTATACGGTAGATGCATATGGGCTGTACATATGCATATATATATATATATATTTACGGATACCGAAGCTGGCTGATATTTTTGCGGCAAGTAGAGTGCGTTTGTAGGTATGTGGGCACTTTCGAAGCCTTCAAGCCCCCAAGCATGGCCCATCAACAAACAGTATATACCAATAAGAACGTAAGAATATAGATACATACGTACTTATATAGGGAGTTAACTACCTTCAAGTAGCGCTACTGCAGTCCATATGAGTTGGTCAAATTCTTTCATGTTTATCTCGTTCATATTTAAGCTCCGAATGGTGGATTTATACGCGCAAACACCATAGTGGCCGCGCACAGGAAGCTGGCGTCCCGCTTGCCTGTGCCTTGATGACATGTACCACATAAACTTACGTATCTATGTACAAGTATGTATGTATGTGTATGGAACTGAGTGCTCGAATTAAATGAAAGACCCAAGACCAGAAGGAAGAACACTCACCACACAGCACCTTAATAACTAATAATAATAATAAAGAAAAAACGAAAAACGACAACGAAAAAGCTCATATTCGATCGCAATCGTCAGGATCGATAAATACGTGTAGTATATCCCCGCGCGCGCACATTGCTACAAATGTACGTGCTTTGGTATGGCGCAGCATAATAAATCACCTGCTTCGAGAAATTATATTTTTAGTGCTACTGTATGCGGTGCACTTGCACAATTCCAGTTTTTAATCAAAGTGGTTTTCATAAAAAAAAATACAAAATTAAAATATAAAAACGTTAGCTTCGGCTGCACGGAAGCTATAATACCCTTCACAAGTGCATTTCTTATAGATTAAAAAGATATAAAAAGATATTTATCTTGACTTTGATCGGTCAGTTTGTATAGCAGCTGTATGCTATGGAGGTATGATATCGGCTATCTCAACAAATGTGCAGCTTCTTGAAAGGGAAAGGACGTGCGCAAAATTTCAGATCGATATCTCAAAAACTGAGGGACTAGTTCGAGTATATATAGACGGACATGAATAAATCCACTCAGATCGGCACGAGTGGGTATAGGGCCTCCGACATTTCCTTCTGGATGTTACAAACTTCGTTGCAAACTTAATATACCCTGTTCACGGTATAAAAAATAAAAATTATTCAAAGATTCATAACGCGCGGTTCTGTATAGACTTTATGGGTTACCATATTTAATTTTTACTTATATTGGTTTGCAGGTATGAATAATCGTTAGTTAATATCACTTTAGTAAATTAATTAGATGCAAATATGTTATAAGTATAAATATATATACGCACTCACATATACAGATAAGTAAATGTATATTTTACAAAACTTAGTATTACGATAATAATTTGTGATTCTTACGCTCAACTAATATTATGACTAACAGAAAATAAAACTTGCTGACTATTTTAATTGTAATAATTACTTTGCAGCTGTATGCGTATATAATTACGGTTTATTTGATTTACATATGTTTAGCTTGCGGCGCAAAATTTGAGCGCACTTTATTTTATGCGGACAGTTCGAAAAATCATTGAGTTGTGAAGGCTGCACCGCGGTGTACTTCGAATGCAATAATGCTGCTGTCAACTAACAGCTGTGAACATACCAAGCTTTGCATATTGTGGGTTCTTAAGGGGTTACCGGTTACTTGTTTTGGAAATTCCAGGACATAAACTGTAAGGTGTGAGTTGACGGTTTTTGAGTTTGACTTTCAGCTGACTTTTGACCATTACAAGGAATCATAATCGTTGATAGAGTTATAAAGTTAGTACGGCCCTTTATATAGTAAAATATTAGTGGAGCACATAGAGCAGGAGCGTTGTATGTTTTTGGGGCTATAAACATTTATTTATATTTCTAAAAATTTGACTTTTTGGGAAGTAAAAATATACCACTTTTTTAAGTATTAATTTTCGTCCGTTAATACTTGTGTTAAATTAAAATAAAATTATATATAAACAAATTCTTGAGGTAATGGAAAACTTTTCAAGGAACTGTTAAGCCATCATCGAAGACTTTTTCACTGATAGCTAAACTACTTTTCTTGCAGCAGACGGAGATATAAATATAAATTTCCTAAAGCAAATTTGATTCTTAAATCGCTATTAGATATTCTGGTAATATCATTGCTCGTTCTCGGTCATAAGGACAACTTAGTCCTTCTCTTCAAAGGGGTGTCTAACGATCTGCAATCGATATTTGGTGCCTTTAGTAAAGATAAATTCCATATAAATCCACCACGATACAACGAGTAAGAAATAATAATCAAAACGGTGTAATGAATTTATCTGACAACTAAGTCATGTTAATAGTTTGTTGAGAAGCGTGCTTGTTGTATTCCATCAGCTTTAAGTTTATTAAGTACAGTTTTAAAAAAATTATACTAAGGCGACAGTCATTGATGGATTATAATTCTGTGCAGATTCGGCAATATACCCGACTGAGCTGAGATCTAAATTGATATCATCCACCTCAAATACGATTGAAATAGTATTGATATTTAGCTAAAAGGGCACCTTTTGGTGGCGAAAAAGTTATTCTTAACAAATTTTAGCAAGCATTTAGAGGCCAAATGTTCAAATTACGATAATTACCCAGGAAATAAATTAGTTATCCAACATATCATATTTATTTGACATTATTCTACTTAGAAAAGGCTCTGTGATGAGAAAAATATGTACATACAAATATTAAACATCTTGACAACTCATATTCTGTAGAATTGTTAAAAATAAATAGAAAAACGGTTTAAGAGAAATCTTGTCTAAATTGACTTACATATAAACCTATGAGATAGATCATAGTAGTGCCGAAATCATTGTGTAGGTCCGAAGGGTCACTGAAATCACAAATTTGGTCATTATTGCAAGAATATGTAATCAAATTTATAAAATGGTATACCATATAAAAGCTGCTGCCTTAAGTATCTAAAAAAACGATAATTTCTAATGGGAAGGAAGAATAATCCTTTTTCAGATCAGTACATCCACGGAAATCCTAAAATATAAACATAGCAGTGGGGAACAGTCTTGAATAGCGCCACTGCTCCTGAGTTTGAAAATAATGAATCGGGGAAGCTTAGTGCTACATTACATGGTCGCACAAACAAGAACAGTTAAAGAAACCTATATACATAAGATCTAGTAAAAAATCTATAATTTTTGGTTGTAGAATTACTCGGTTTAGATGAAATATCCAATGTTTTGTTCGATAACTTCTCTTATACAAATTTTCGTCCCTATTTAAAACAACAGAGACAGTCGATCTTCACAAACTTCTCTTGTATCAAATTTTTCACCAGCGCAGCAAATGCATTTCAGGTCAGTACTGCATAAAAACAAACAAAACTCCCGGAGTTTCTGGCGAGTCAGTATTAATGTCTGTGGCCTAGCGTTATCTTAATGGAACATAATTCCTTTATGATGATTCGGTCACGACCATTTTCGCTTAAAGTTATCGTAAATGTCTCACTTTTCATCACGAGTAAGAATCCGCTTTAAAAATGGATCAACTTTATGGCGATTTAGTACCGAATAGCGGTCGGACGCGACGATTTCCATTATTTTATCGATTGTTTCGACTATTGGCCGCTTGGAAAACGCTTGCTGGACCTTATATGATAGCAGCTGGGTAACAAATATGTAGATTTCAAAAGAAGATAGTTAAGAAGGTGATGGCGAAGGCAGAAAAGTAGGGATGCTTCTAAAAACTAACGATTAAGCTGAAGCAGCATATGTTCGAATATTTTAATTTCCAAAAACGACAAATTTATCTAGCATCCCACGCTGCCACCTGCAAACAAATACATATTTAATATTTATTTAAGTTTTTAATCATTGACATTTTTTGCATCAAAACAAGCTCGCCTAATTGAAACCATTCTTTAGTTACGCACAATTAGCGAGCAGTTGTTCAGCATGCATGCAAAGTGTTTTCATAAGGATCAACCCTGTATTAGAGCCTACATTTATTGTACGCATATGTAGATGCCAAATAACAGCATGACCAATTCACCAGAGAGAAAACCCCATAACCAATCGGGGTTGAAGAGGATTATTGGTTTTTGTGTGCTGAGAAATAAAATCATTAATGCAGGATGCACTTATGACTACGATTCGGTAAGGGCACAGTGTTGTTGTTTTATTGTATTTTATTATGTATATCCTTACATTTGAAATGGGGCGAATAAAGTCAAGGGATAATAGTTATAATAACGACAAGCTGTTTTTTTGCTGCACAATTCCAGAATACCTTTTCAAAAACTCTGCACACGTTTGTACGAAAATTATTGCCTTGCCCTCATCATAGCGGTGCCTACTAAGAGTAAAACTCAGCAGCAGCAACAACAGCGGCAGCAGGAGCACTGACAACAACAACAACAACAGCAAGAATCAGCAGGGTACAGATGTTTTTATTTATCGGACAATGAAAGAATAACACGTGAACAAAGGGAAGCGCACCTTTACGGCAGCAAAGTCAACGTTTTATTCACCTGTTGGTGTCTTTACGACTGACTCCTTTATACGATTGAGAGTAAATGCATTGCTCTTGAAGCGAGCTGGCAGGCATACATACCGTTGTACATAAATGCGAACATGTGGACCATGTTGGAAAAATCTGTTAATCAGATGCCCTGATAGCTACGAGGTATAGGAAAGATGTCTAGCGAAATACCATTTTTTTGGAAGTAAAGACAAACTATAATTTATGTTGTAAGTCATAAAGAACATTTTTCTAAGAATTAATCAGCTGTTGCAATGCGACTTACTCGTAGAGCTTTTAACTAAAGCAGCTGAAAATTATATATATTAATTGTTTCATGTCTCTGACTTGAAAAATGTTTCAGCCATGTAAAGAGAATTAGAATTAATTTTTTCAATCACGAAACCATTCATATGTATTAGAATACTTTTTGCGAAGAACTTCTTTAAAAAATAAACCAAATGAACATGGTGTAAGTGCTCGGTTAAAAATACTTTTTATGAAAATAGGCTGTTGCCCAGAGGTACTGATAAAGTTTCTTTTTTAAGAGTCATTCTACAATCTTTATTCATAACAGAAGCCATATACGGTTGAAGATAAAAATCTGCGAAAAATCTTACTCACTGCAGACCGAATCACGATATGAAAATATGGTAACAGAGAGTGAGAGAAAGAGCGGGAAATTTAAAAAGAAGGAGAATATAATACCAAAAGAAAGATAGAGAGACAAAGGGATAAATAACCAATATACTAGCCCCAAGGTGAAAGAGTGAGACTGCATTCAGACGAGGACTCCTTTTTTAGCTTAGTATTGGCAAATTCTGAAAGTTATGAACAAGAGTACAAGGCGTGCAGCCGAGCACGAGTGGCACGGTCACTTTGTCTTTCCTCGTCGTCTACTCGCCTGCAAAAAAACCGACAAAAGTGTTTTCATGTGAACATCGCCTAATAGACATTATTAAAACACCAGTTCTGTAAAAGAATTGCTCGGAGCACCAACAGAATGACTCCGTAGTTGAGAAAGTTTCTGTAAAAGACAAAACTTCAAAAGCGAAAATTTAAAATAAAGCCAAAAGCATTGTGACTGCCTTATGCCTTCCTAACGAATACAATCCAACCATAAGTTCTACAATATTTCTATGTTTCAGTACTCTTCTTCCAGATTACAGATTCTGAGCCAACAAAAATGAAATTAGGTAACCGAATATTGCTATTGATCATCAGTAAATGAGACATATATTAGTCAATTACTTGACGTAATCGTATCGCATTCCCACTCTACTCCATATGCCACCAATACCTGTTACTTTTGAGCCTACAAGTGGTTTTTAACAATCGACAATTAATTTTAAAGGACGAATTTCTCACGGTATTGCGCTTGTGAATCTACAGCACCACCACAGGTGGATAGCTAAACGCGAACCACAAATAATTTCTACACCAACATAAGGGTGTCAGCGCGGAATCACTTTAGATTTCCCTGCAGGGTAAGTTGCTTGTACGCAAAACACCCGTATGTGTGTGCGAATGTGCCGGCGCTCATCGGTGCACAATTGGCGATGCACCGGTTGGGTAAGTATGTGGCAATTTAGGATGTAGCGGCAAGTGTGTGCACGCACATACAAACTTACATACATACAGATAAATATGCAGATATACTCGAATGTATATATGCAATAATGTGTAAATGAATATGCTGAAGAGTATTCCGTTGGCGGTTGACGGTTGGCAGTTGTCAGTTGAACCTGTTCATGGTGATGCTACAATATGGTATCGCTTGGTTGGTTTGTTACTTGGTTGCCCGCATGTTCTTCTTCCTTTAAGGGTTGTTTTAACGTTACATTTGGCGTTATCCTTAATAATTGTAGAACAGGTGTATAATGCAATTGATTGAGTTTGGCGGGAAATTTAAACAAAACAGTTGACTTCTAGAAGCAATAGAATCTTAAGGAGGCCAACGTGATAGAAGCATGTGAATCCCTAAATTGTAATTTGTAATAGGCATTTAAGCGAAGCGACGCGTATGTGTTAATCCTTAAATGGCTATACAAGTTAACCACAATAATGTATGGAAATATATATACACATACACATATGTACAACAAACACTGAGTCATTTGGTAGCATAAGGACATATTGAATTTGGATATATTACGATAGAAAGTAAACATTTTCAAGTGAATTTGTCCGACGACCGGATCTAAAGGATGCGGAAATTGTAAAGCCGCGCAGTTGACCTAAACTTTCTCAACACGAAAAGAAGCCTTATGGACTTGACTTAAAATGATAACCAAGAAGCTGCTCATTTATTGAAACTGCCAATAATGGAGCACTATATGATATAGCTACTATACAAGCTGACCGTTCAAAATCAAGTTCATGTATGGAAAACTTTTTTATTTAATAAGATATTTAACGAACTTTGGCATGGATTATTGTTGTTGTGTGGTTGTTGTAACTGCAAAAGCCTTCCGAAAATAATTTTGAAGAATACTGCCGACGTGACAGCCCTTGGCCGAAAAAAAATTCTTATCCGTTCGGGGTTACGTAGATCCGACTACAGTGTGAACGGACATGGATTATTGTCCAAAGCAACGCAATTTATTCAGATCGGACCATTGTAGCAGATAGCTGTCATACACACTCACCGATCAAAATCACAATAAAGACCTGTTTATACTTTTTTTGCTATAAGAAACGCACCTATGAAGTGTATTATAGCTTCAGGGCAGATGACGTTCTTATTGCAATTGGCTTTAAAAACCAAACCTTTAAGATACTTAAATAACTATATCGATAATATATAGATAACTTTGTTTCAAACTAGATTAGTTAAAAGATATAAAATACTTTAGTATCTCAAGGATTATATTACAACTATAAACGAATACACTACAGCTGTAGCAAAAGACTTATGAACGATACCTGATTTGCGAAATCTCGTATTTTGTTACAAAAGGAAGAATGGAATGGTGCTCTAGGGCAAGACTTAAGATTAATACGCAAACTTTGCCTGGTATTCTAGTTATATGTAAGCACATTGAAGCTCTTACCACTGTTTCATACATTCAAATCTAATGAAGCGAATTTCAACTAGTCTTTCTTGCTACTATCTCACGATTACCCGCAGTCGCCTGAGTAATATTTCTTATAACATTAAAGTGTAAAATGTAATGGGTATGGAGTTTAGCTTGTTGACAGGGGATGATTGGAGGTGGTTAGGTGTTAGGTTAGCAATTTGTTTTCCATAGGAAAAATTTAATTTACTTCCACCTTTTCTTTGATAAAGAGGTTATATGAAAATTGTTTAAAGCAAACGTTTTTTTTATAAACAAAGATTTAACAGTTTAGATAATA